CAGAAATGATCTGAGGTAATCATGTTGTTTTATAAATGAGGAAACTTAGACAAATTGAAGTTGAGAAACCGTCTTGTCTAGGATCCACATGTTAATTTGTGGTAGAGCAAGTACCATAATTCCCAATATCCACTACACTGGGTTGTTGTGAACACATAAAACAGTATATTGGACAGTACAAGGAAGCTAAGTAATAGTGGAAAAGAAGGTTTTGAAGTTCTGATCCCTGTCAGTTCTCCTCATCTGTTTTATTAAAATCAAAGAGCTTGAAGGCAATGAAAACACCCTGGCAGCTGGCTTCCCGTAGCTGCAGCCTAAATGTATCTGAGAGACCTCTGCCTCAGTATTCTTCATGGACCAAAAGGACAAATCATAGCATCATTGTCTGAAAAGGATAACTACTCATGCATTTCAAGCCAGTCTTGACAGGTAAGTGCAGGTAGTCGAAGCCTCACTATTCATTTACTTCATGAATATTCTCAGACACAAAGATGCCCCCAAACCCCCTTACCTTGAATTGGATATACTTTACAAGGTCAAATTCTTTGGCATACATCCTGAAATACTCCAGGACCTGGGAGTTGTGCATGAAGTTGGGAAAATGATCTGGGATGGGGTAGTCACTGAAGCACATCATCTCCTTAGAGGTGTTGATGATCACTGATCTGTAAATGCTGGCCCTTCCTTCCTCGGGATTTTCCTGCAGTAATTAAGAAGCATTTATGGCAACTTGAGATTTAACTTCATGATTTACAAATAAGCATTTGAAAAGTTTTCTGAATAAAATGTAATTCAAATGAATCACTCACACCACACACACACACACACACACGCACACACACACACACACACACACACACACACACACCCTTCCACATCTCCTAATATTCTCATCCTTTGTAATTAGTTATTCCTTTCCTCTTGAATCTGAGTCATCTTTATACCTTTCTTTTAACCAACAACATGCAGTTGAAATGGCATTGAGTACCTTTCAAGACTAAGTCATAACTAACCTTGTAGCATCTGCTTGGGCCACTTAGAAAGTTCACTCTGGTGGCAGTCAAAAGCCATGAAAGAAATCCAGCTATCTTGAGACCATGGCACTGTAGGAAGCCCAGCCTAAGCCCATGAAGACACTACGTGGAGCAGAAAAACATCCCGCCAGCCCCAGAAGCTCTAGCTATCACAACCACAGTTGTGGTAAGTCTCGGGAGTTTCACAGACATTACGAGACCATTCTCCAGAAATGATTGTACAAATTCATATTCTCAATCCTAATTACTTGTTTTCTCTACTTGTATCAACATGGAGTCATAGTTTTTTATATGATAAAAATCCAGAAATTAGGACCCTGTACTGAGTACATAGCCCTTTAAAGAGACATTCATCACTGTTATCAAAGACTTGTTAAGGATATTAATATTAGTAGTATTTGTGATTTTGTGAATGTACAATGTAATGAAAATTTTTACAAATGTACAAATTTACCAATGTAAATGTGTATTTTGTAAAGGTACAAAAGCTAAATGGCTGATAAAAATACCTAAGATTTGAAAACTATTGCTCTAGATTCTTGCTATCCAAAGTGTGGTTTGTGGACCAGCAGAAAAGGTATCAATAGGGAAATTTGTTAAAGGCACAGAATCTCAGAGCTCACTAAGGAGGAGACTTACTACATCAAGACTTGCATTATGGCAAAACAGTAAAGTAATTGATTCAGATTAACATGAAAACTGAACAGCACTGCTTTTTATAACATTAATTCTTAATATAATATTTTCCTACCTATGACAAATTTTCTTTAAAAAATATTGTATTTTTTGTTATATGGAGTGTTTTGCCTGCATGTATGTAAATGCATCATGTGTATGCAGTGCCCATGGAGGACAGAACAGGGTGTCAGATACCCTGGAACTGGAGTTACGGGTGATTGTTAGCTGCCATGTGGATTCTGGGAACTGAACCAGGGTCCTCTGCAAGAGCAGCAGGTGTTCTTAACCACTGAGTCTTCGGACTCCAACCCCTACAACAAAAGTCATTTCCTCAAAAACTTCCTAATAACTTCCTATATATTAATTATAGTTAATGTGGTGATCCCATAAAGGAACAGATGATCCCAGCCTATTTTACAACTGAGATATTACAAATTTTAGGTTTTCCACTTTGTTATATTAAATTTGCGTTATTATGAAAACTCACCCTGGTCAATTTAGACCCCCTCTTGGTTTATTATCAGACTGTATAGATACTTGGATTTGGGCTATTATAAACTGTTTTAAACATTCTGAAACACAAGAGTGTGCTTATTGGATCTGTTCACACTCAGGCTTGTTTTCCCCCCTGCTTTATTCAAGAATTATTTAGTTTAGAAATTCTAAATTGGTCATTCCCATTTCTCTATCCCCAAATCCAAGAATTCATTTCTTTAAAAAAAATTTTGATTACATATTTATTTATTTTGTATTGGATTGGAGGAAGGGGCAGATGCATATGGAGGTCAGAGGACAACTTGGTTGTTTCTCTCCTTTCACCACATTCATCCAGGGAATCAAACTCAGGTCATCAGGCTCAGTGGCAAGTGCCTTACCAAGCCATCTCACGGGACCTCATTTCTGTTTGCCTGGTAATCAGGTTATGAGGAGTGTCCTTTAAAAGTCTCGTACAGTGTGGCTATAACTGTATTTGTTTTCCAATTAAAGGTTTGCATGTTGCCCTACTTCCTATAAAGTTCTTGTTTCTCAGTCCCCATCAGCATCCCAGCTAGCTATTTTATAGATACCAATAAACAGATTCTGAAGTTTGTATGGGAGGACAGAGGCCCAGGATAGCCAACTTTGTTGTTAGGTATGGACTGGGCATAGTAACTTTCTTCTAAATGGAGCAAAGGTGATAAAACTTTACATTGGCAAAACTCTACTTCGAACACATCGAAGTTACCAGAAACAGTGCTCAGTCATATTGAGACTGATGACCTTTAATATGACCTAGTGAGAGTGGTATTTCACCTCCCGGGTCTTTGTCCCTAAACTGCACAACCTCAGGCTAACCATGAGCAAAACATCAGACAAACCCCAATGGGATATTCTACAAACACCTGACCAGTATCCTTGAACCTGCTGTGAGCCTCAGGCATGGAGAGATGGCTCAATGGTTAAGAGCACTGGCTCCTCTTGCAGAGGACCTGGGTTTGATTCCCAGCACCCGCATGGCAGCTAACAACTGTCCATAACTCCAGTTCTGGAGGGTCTGAAGACCTCTTCTGACCTCCATGGGCACTGAACGCACAGGTGCACCTACCTACATGTAGGTAATACACTTATATGCCTAGAATAAAAAATAAATAAAATAAATAAAACAAAGAAGTCTAAGAAATTGTGACAGCAGGAGGAGCCCTAGGAAACACAACTACCAACTATTCTAGAGATGCCAGAACGGGAAAAATGTTATGAGGAAGAACTAATTAATTGAATGATGTATGGGCTCATACATCATATGAAAAACATATCATACATATGTAATATATTAACAATAGGGGAACTGGACAAGGGAATTTTGGGAACTCAGGACTATCTTCCTATTCAACTCCATAAATCTAAAACTATCTAAAATTGAACATGTACCTAACGTGTTTGTACAAAAGCATTTTGGGATCAATATGTTTGAGAAGGGTGTATTCTTAACTTCTGAATTTTACTTTATTCATTCAAAATATATTCCTAAAGTCCCTGTGTGAGAAAAGACCTGGCTATGTGATGACAAATACAGGTCTGCCCCTTTCTTCAAAGTTTCAGGGTTTAGTACAAGGCGCAGACCCTCACTTTCCACAGCACGTCTGTTGGGGTCAATGGGTAAACTGAATTACAGGTCTTCTCTCCATGACAGTACTCACAGATTTCTGTTCCTTTTTAAAGCCACTAATGCAGTAGAATATTATCTTGTGCCAACCAAAATCTGCCATCCCTTCCAACTACTTATTTGGATTGTTGGTAGAGTTTATCACTGTGCCATCCACTGCTTCATAAAAGAATGGGGCCATGGCAGCACTGAGTCAGTGAGAGGGAAAAAGTGTCTTCAACTTTACAGCTTCCTGCCATCACTGAATACATCACCCCACTACAAATTTTGTTCCCTGACTGTATTTCCCACTCAGCATTCAGTTCACACATGTGAGTAGGAAGTCTGTATTTAAGAAAGAGAAGAACTAGTGGGTGTTGGCCCTACTAACTGTTGAAGGGAGTGAAAAAGAATAAAGGGAAAAATAATTCCCCTTCAGTGGGAGGACTGAGGACACTGTGAGTCTTATGTTCCCTTGTCAGAGTCTCCGAGTTCCATAAACAGACACTTTGAACTATTCTATACACATTGGAACAAATTCCGAAGATTAAAAAAAATTACTAGTGGCTGGGCTGTGTCCCTAAAGACGGTCCCTAAAGATTACCCCTTGTCTAGTGTGTGTATATGTTTGAGAACTGCTAGTAAAAGGTGGTATGTGGGCCCCAGAGATTTCATAACACAAATGGATCCATCAATTTAAAGGTCCTTTCTGTGCCCATCCTTAGTCCAACTGAAAAATGCCCCAGGGCAGTGGCAGGAATTTACATATTTCAGTTTCCGCATCCTCAGAGATCTGAAAGCCTTTGCTCAATAAACTAGTACCAATGTTGTTTTAAGGATGCAATGACACCCTCAATTTTGACCTTGGAAAATTGGGGTAGAAGATGTTAGATACTGGTCCTTCACAATGACTGTGGATTACAAATATCTAGTAGAGCTGTATTGCAACCCCAGTCAATAAATCTCACAGAGTGACTTCGTTGTTTACTTTTTCTTTTTCTGTTTTTTGTTTGTTTGTTTGTTTCTCGAGACAAGGTCTTACTAAGTATCTCTGGCTAGCCTGGGACTTTCTCTGCAAAACAGGTTAGTGTGAAACTCATAGAGATCTGCCTGTCTCTGTCTCCAGAGTGTTGCTACTAAAGTTGTGTGCCACCATGTTGAGCATAAATTCAATATTTGTTAAGTTTCGCAGCCCTGTAGCCCTGGAACTCACCATGTAGCTCAGGCTGGCCTCAATCTTGTGGCAATCCTCCTGGTTCAGCCACCATGCAAGAAGAGAACTTACAAATTATCATAAAGTATTAATCTATTATAAAGGAGGAGACAATACAGGTTTGGCAGATGAAACAGAAAAAGAACAGAGATAGGAAAATACAAATGAAGGTGTCTAAAGGGATATTTATCTGGCAGGTGAAAGAAAAAAGAATAGAAAATACAAGTAGTGGCACCCAGGAGGAAAGAAAACGGAACCATCGAGGGAGAGGAAGTAGGAACCTTGGATTGGATTCTGGGGACAATGGTAGAATTCCACTGTGCTGGGGGAATCAATTCTATTTAAGACATCTATAATTCATTAAAGTTGAGAGAGTTGAAGGAAGGAGCACACAACTCCAAATAACTAGCAAGGGAGTATGAAAGAGGCAGATTCCAGTGCAGAAAAATTTCAGAACACCACTATGAGACTGTGAAATGTCTAATTCAATCATGGGCGCTCAATACTTCACGTTCCACAACTGTGTGGCTGGCTAATGTGTGAACGAAGCCTTCTAGTGCCCCAAGCATCCTAAGGAGCCATCAGGACAATTTGCTCCTCGGGGACTCATGGAAATAGAGTGTACTTTGAAGCTAATATGTACAGGGCTTCAGGAGGGGCCCTAGAATGGAATGCTTAGCCACACAGTGTGGTCTGCCCTGACAGAAGTCAGGGTATTAGAATGAAACACAGCTTACTGATTTTTAAGGAACCAGTTCATAAGGTGTTGAAATTCTGTCAAGAGGATAATCAAAAAAAAAAAAACCATGACATTAAATCTTCAGAAAATAATCACTTAAAGCTACTTTAGAGATAACAAATCTAATACCTCAAGCAGGATGCTGGATATTGTCCAGCATCCTCCTGTCCTCGGCTGATTTCACCCCTTTCTGATAATTGATGAACCTGGTTATGATGCTTCGCAGAGACCCCAAAGTGCAGGTCCCTATCTAGGCCTACTGAATAATATTTGGTATGCAGCACTGGGTGTCCACCATTGTTAGAAGTGACTGTATAATTATTCAGTCACTTACCACCACCCCCCATGGTAACTTTCAAGCATGGGTATAATCATTAGCTCCTTCTTAAAGATGAAGAAACAGTAGACACAGAGAAGGAAAATGATTTCCTCGAAATCACACTCCTATAGGATGACAGATACAAGGCTTGACTATAAGATCATGTTCTTAACCCCCATACCATGGCTTGACTGGATTTTAAGAGCAGAATTTTCTATTGATTAGTAAGAACAAGCTAGCAACCTTTCCAACCCATGCCAAAGACTGTGATGAAGGAATGAGTGTCTAGGTAGGGGATCTATTCTAGACCTGAATAAAGACTGCTATCAAAGAGGGGATATACTCTCCAGTCCAGAGCTACAGTGCAAAAGGACCGTACTTCTATTCAACCCAGGAATGTCATGAAGCCACTCCAAAGTAGCTGGTCAACACTGCTATTTTTTGTTATTGTTTTTGGTGTTTTTGAGACAAGTTCTCCCTGTAGCCCCCAGCTGGCCTGGAACTACCTATGTAGACCAAACTGGGCTTGAATTCACAGAGATCCGCCTGCCTCTGCCTCTTGAGTGCTGGAATTAAAGGTGTGCGCCACCACTCCCAGCTAATACTGCTAGTTTTTATGAAAAAAGAAATACACCAGGGTGTTGGGAGCCTGGGAGCCTGAGGTTCAACTGAGTCTCAGCTACCTCTCAAAACTGCTGACAGGCCTGAGCTGGCCGCTTTCCATTCTGCCCGCAGCCTTGGCCTGGAAACCCTGGCAGGCAGCCGGGGCCCACGGCTTTGTCTTGCAGTCGGGGCTCAAAACCTTGGCCCAAAACCTTGGCTTGAGGCCGGGGCCAGATAGCCTTGCTAGATAGTCCTGGCCCACAGCCTTGCTCTCCTTTCCAGCATACGGTTCTATTCTTCTATAATCAGAGATTCCTCCCTTAATGTCATGCTCTGACTGATGTATTGGCTTGCAGTCTGTGTTCCTTTGTTCTCATTCTTTACAAAAACTCTTGCTTGTGCTTCAATAAACAAGACTTGATCAGAATCCTGTCTTGTCTCCATTTCTCTTGTCCTTGCCTCATTTTCATCCCCACCCCCCAATCCAGGTACCCCGTTGCAGACCCTGCGGGCTGGGGCACCAGGGAGCTGGAGAGATGGTTCAGCAATTAAGAGCATTTTCAGAGGACCCTGGTTCAATTCCCAGGACCCACATGGCAGCTAACAACCCTCCGTAACTGCAATTCCAGGGGATCCAAGACTCTGACCTCTGTGGGCATTGCATGAGACAAGTGCACTTACACACATGCCAGCAATACATTCATACATGTAAAATAAAAATAAATATATAATAAAAAAGAAACACAGCCGGGCGTGGTGGCGCATGCATGTAGTCCCAGCACTTGGGAGGCAGAGGCAACCGCATCTCTGTGAGTTCAAGGCCAGCCTGGTCTACATAGTAAGTTCCAGGACAGCTGGAGCTACAGGGAGACCCTTATTCAAAAGGCCAAACAAAGAAAAAAAAAGAAAAAGAAACACACTTATGACAATTAACTACTACTCAGAAAATGAGTTTAAGAAGTAAGCCCCCCAAACTGGGTGTGGTGGTGCATTCTGCTAATCCTAGTACCCAGGAGGCAGAGGCAGGTGAATCTCTGAGATGAAGGCCAGCCTGGTCTACATACAGAGTACAGGGGCTAAGATTACAAAGTAAGTCCAATGCATGCCAGTTTGGAGATCAATGAAGGTTGTTGATATTGTTTGGCATTTAATAAGCATAGCTATCATTCCAGTAAATAGTATTTTAAACTTTTACTAATAAGTTGTTGAGTTGCATATGCATATTAAAATAATTGAACTTTAAAACCGAGTTGCAAGTGCCCACTTCCCTATTACAAAGACAAAGGACTTTGGGCCTCTCAAGGGAAGGACACGCTTAAAGCAAACAGGGTGATTGGATTTTTATATTTTATTCACGAACTAGATTGTCAGAAGTAGCTCAAGTGAGAAGGGTGTGTGTGTGTGTGTGTGTGTGTGTGTGTGTGTGTGTATGTGTGTGTGTGTACAGGTGCATGTGGAAGGGAGAAGTCAATGCTGGGATTTTTCTTAAACTTCCTCCATCATATTTATTAGGACAGGGTTTTCCTTGAACACGGAGCTTGCAGATTTACTAGGCTGGCTGTCAGCAAGTCCCAGGAATCCTCCCATGTCTACTTCCCACTGCTGGGATTGCAGGGGCATGCTCCATGCTCACGCTATTTTCTTAAGTGCTGGGAATGAAACTCAGTCCTCATGCTCTTTCCACACAAGCACTTTACAGACTGAACCATGTGTCTCCCCAACCCCACGAATTTTTTTTCTAATGAAAGATGGAAAACAAAGGTGAAGGTTGAGCAGGGATTCCTGGAGTTGTATGCAGACATGTCTATTATTATCACAAGGAGGAACAAACTTTGCCACCTCACAGATTTCCTTTCCTGAGTAGCAGCAAAATTCAGCAAAGAAACCAGTCTCAGTATGTTTTCATATCAACAGGAAGAGAAAAACAATTTCTGTTGCCCTTGGTTGCCAGTTAGAGAAAGAAACCTGCCTGAAACCTCAGGTGACTGCTGCTGTGGCTGAATTTAGTCACTGTTTAGCATGAGTTACAATGTGTCATGCAGGGAGTTGCAGGGAGTCCAATCTTACCTGGAACCTCCAGAGTCCTCCAATGTCATCACTCCTTTCGAAGCAGACTGGTTCCAAGCCTTCCTCCAGGCAGCACTTGATACAAGTGAGCCCACTGGCTCCTGACCCAATCACAGCAACTCTTTTTTTGGTCATGGTCTCTGGAGTACTTTGCTGACAGGGTCCCTGTCACCTGTCGTAAACAAACAAATAAACAAGGAGACAAAAGACAGAAACCACGTCAGCCCAACTTTTACACAGAAGACCTTGGCCATGGCAGGTAAATAAATGCGGTAAGGAGAGGTCCCTTTGGGGACAAAGGCTGGAGGGTCGCAGCACCAGGAGGTTGAGGTGCCCTCAGGGAGGTCACGACACTGGGAGCTGGATGCCCTCATGGCTCGGTGAGTGGGGAGCACCTGGAGCAAGGCGCGCGGGGAGCTGGGTGCACTGGAAGCTCGCACCAGGTAGGTACCTTCTCTAGGTGCTGCTCCACTAGTACCTGGCTCCTCACAGCAGTGACCTCTCATACTTTGTGCTATTAAAGAAAAGTATAAACAGCAGCTCTGCCAATAGGGAAGGACTGTGGTGCCCCACCTCCTTTCAGTCAACACCTGCCCACTGAGGGCGTGCATCTTCCTTCCCTAAATGCAAAAAAAAAGTTGGATCTGCTTTCTGGTGGAAAAAAAAAATCTTATTAAACAACAAAGGCGATGACAACGACAACGATGACAACGTAACCATGAATTTTCAGCCTTGGTTGCCTGCACTCCTGGAGACCAAGCTTTCCTCTAGCTCCATCGCTTGGCTCTTGATTTATTGACTTTCAACTTCCTGTTTTATCTTAAAGAGATAAAGGCCTGACAATAAAGCTAAACAGCCTTTCAGGAGCAGACCTTCCTCCAACGTTGACAAGGAGAAACCATATTTTCTAAGATCCGTTCAGACGGGGGCTGGATCCGGTCTCTTCCCCTCCCCACACTCCTCACAGGCAGTTTTGGACCTATGCTACTGTACCAACTTAAATTTCTTCAGGCACTAAGTAGAGAAGCCTACAGCTCACTGAGACCAATGCATATACAGAGATGATTTCAGTGAAATAAACACTTTAAAGAAGTGAGTAGCTAAAAACACGAACTATCGCTTCTAAAATATAACTTTAAAATGTCAAGTATTAAATCACATAGAACCACGGATGTCATGATTATACGATTTGATTCATCCAGGCAGGTTAAGGTTGAGGGCACCTCTAACCCAGGGCTTTAGCTTGACAGGTGTAAAATTTGTAGAGAGCAGGATAGTACTGAAGCCAGGAGTCACTGTTCTGTAGTACCACTCCCTCAGTCTACATTGCTCAAGGTGGTTCAGTGCCTCCAGGCATGGTTACACAGGACTGTAACCCCAACACTGGGAGGCAGAGGCAGGCAAATCACTATGAGTTCAAGGCCAGCCTGATCTACATAGTGAGTTCCAGGCCAACTACATGGTCTTAAACACCCAAAAGAAAGTATATGCAAAGATTAAAGTGATCAGTATATTTCTTTAAGAGTTCACGTTATTACGCTTCCCAGACATTAGGCTTAAATCCATATAAGATATTATTTAGACAATTATTTCTCATTGATGATTTTGTTCCTAAACAGAAACTGCTGCTCAGATGTGAGACTTCAGATCTTGGTCTGCAATGCCATAGTGCCCACCAGTAGCTAAGGGACACAACCAGCTATTGTTCTAAAATCATGGATAAGTTTGTTTTCTCCTATCTAGAAGCCTTTGAGAGGGAACTGACACTGATCTTAGCCACTCCAACAGTTATCAAAATGTCTGAAAACAAATCCTGAGTTCATCACTCCCAAGTCCAGCCTTGGCAGACAAAAGAAAATTGAGGGGGAACCCAATAGAAGGATGCTTTTGGAAGCCCTTGTCAGGAAGTTCCAATGGACTCTGATAAGAACGTTTGAAATTTGCCCTGTTCTGGCTTTTTTCTGGTTCCCTGTCTAGAACTTGTAATGCTAACTACTCTTGCCTTTACTTCTCCTTCACATCTCCTGTTCACCAGTCCAGGATTTCTTTTCTCCCTACAGATAAGAGTTATGCAGTTTGGGAGTCTTTTAGATGACAGGGACTACAGGGAGACCCTGTCTGAAAATGACAAAAAAAAAGATAATTCAATGCCAAGCAGTGCTGGCCCTGCATTCTGAATTATAGGCCTCTCCCTACAAGGCCTCTTCCCAGGATATCGGTTAACACTACTTCGGGGTGTGCTTTGAGGTTTTTAGATGACAGGGACTACAGGGAGACCCTGTCTGAAAATGACAAAAAAAAGATAATTCAATGCCAAGCAGTGCTGGCCCTGCATTTTGAATTACAGGCCTCTCCCTACAAGGACTCTTCCCAGGATATCGGTTAACACTTCTTCGGGGTGTGCTTTGAGGGGTTCAAATGGCTTAATGGAAATCAATCCATGCAGTCCTCCCAGATACTCCAGGAGGCAAATGATGATACCTAGTGTGCAGTTGGGAAACAGAGGCCAAGCGACCTGCTGAGGATGTTACAGGATAGGCCGGGAGGCCAGCCATGCAGTCCCTGCAGCCTAACTCCAGACAGAGTTCTCAAC